TTCAAGAGGAAGAGATAACTATCTTAAATATATATGCACCAAACTCCAGAGCACCCAGTTATATAAAACAACTATTAACAGAAATGAAAACTCAAATTATCAACAACACAATTGTAACAGGAGACCTTAATACACCATTGACACCAAGGGACAGATCAACCAGACAGAAAATGAGCAAAGAAATAACAGAACTGAATCACACCTGCGAACAAATGGATTTGATAGACATATATAGAATATTCCACCCAACAACATCAGAATACACATTCTTCTCAGCAGTACATGGATCATTCTCTAAAACAGACCATATATTAGCTCACAGAACATATTTAAACAAATGCAAAAGAGTTGAAATCATCCTTTACATGTTATTGGATCACAGCGCTCTGAAATTAGAAATTAATGATAAAAGATACTGCAAAAATCCCACAAACACATGGAAACTGAATAACACACTCTTGAGTAATCAGTGGGTCACAGAAGAAATTAAACAATACAAGAAAATGAAAATGCAGATACAACTTACCGGAATCTGTGGGATGCAATGAAAGCCGTCCTCAGAGGAAAATTTATTGCACTGAGTCCCCACATCAGGAAAACAAAACGAATACAAATAAATAACTTGATGCTACACCTCAAACAGCTAGAAAAAGAAGAGCAAGTCAAGCCCAAAGCCAAAAGAAGAGAGGAAATTATAAAAATCACAGCAGAAATCAATGCAATACAGACTAAGAAAACAATCCAAAGAATCAACGAATCAAAGAGTTGGTTCTTTGAAAGAATAAATAAAATCGATAAGCCCCTAGCCAATCTTATTTTAAAAAGGGAAGAAAAGGCTCAAATTCATGCAATAAGAAATGAAAAAGGTGAAATCACTACAGACTCTACAGAAATACAGAAGATAATCAACACCTATTTCGAAAACCTCTACTCTCAAAGGTTTGACAACACAGAAGAAATAGACAGATACTTAGAAACATATGAAGTACCAAAGCTAGATCAAGAGGATGTAAAACTGCCCTACACAGAAGAGCCCAAGCCCAGATGGATTCACTGCAGAATTCTACAAGAAATACAAAGAAGACCTAATGCCGACACTCCTCAAACTCTTCAATGAAATTGAAAGGGAAGCAATCCTTCCTAAGTCATTCCTGGAAGCAAATATTACTCTAGTACCAAAACCTGAGAAAGATGCAACTAAAAGAGAACTATAGACCGATCTCCCTAATGAACACAGATGCAAAAATCCTCAATAAAATATTAGCAAATAGGATGCAGCAAATCATCAAGAAGATCATACACCATGACCAAGTGGGATTTATCCCAGGAATGCAAGGACGGTTCAACATATGTAAACCAATAAATGTAATCCACCATATCAATGAAGCCAAAAGTAAGAATCACATGATCATTTCTATATATGCAGAAAAAGCCTTCAATAAGGTCCAACATTCATTCATGATAAGAACTTTACAGAAAATTGGAATAGATGGTCTTTACCTCAATATAATAAAGGCCATTTATGACAAACCAACAGCCAGCATCATACTAAATGGCCAAAAATTGAAATCCTTTACTTTAAAATCAGGCACAAGACAAGGATGTCCTTTATCACCACTCCTATTTAATATAGTACTGGAAGTACTAGCCAGAGCAATTAGACAAGAGAGAGAAATAAAAGGCATAAAGATAGGAAAAGAAGAAGTTAAATTATCATTGTTTGCAGATGACATGATACTCTACATAGAAGACCCCCTAAATGCCACTGAAAGACTCTTAGATATAATAAATAAATTCAGTAATGTAGCTGGATACAAAATCAATACTCAGAAATTAATAGCATTCCTATACACTAACAACAAAATCACAGAGAGGGAAATAAGAGAAACCACACTCTTCATACTAGCAAGCAAAAAAATGAAATATTTAGGAATTACTCTTACGAAAGAAGTGAAAGACCTATACAGGGAAAATTATAATACACTGAAAAAAGAAATTGAAGATGGATCTCAGAAAATGGAAAGACATCCCTTACTCATGGATAGGAAGAACAAATATTGTGAAAATGGCCATTCTCCCAAAACTATTATACAGATTCAATGCAATCCCAATTAAAAATACCATCAACATACCTTATAAATCTAGAGAAATCACTCCTAAAATTCATCTGAAACCACAAGAGACCTAGAATAGCAAAGGCAATTCTAAGCAGCAAAGGCAAGGCAGGAGGCATCACAATCCCTGACTTGAAGTTATACTACAAAGCAACTGTAATAAAATCAACATGGTACTGGAATCAAAACAGAGCCGAAGATCAATGGAATAGATTAGAAGATACAACCACAACTACAAACACACTCAACCACCTTATCTTTGATAAAGGAGCCAAGCAGGTTCACTGGAAGAACGACAGTCTCTTTAATAAATGGTGCTGGAAAAACTGGCTCTCCATTGGCCGAAAACTAAAGCTATGCCTATCACCATGTACTAAATTAAAATCTAAATGGGTCAAAGATCTGAATATTAAAACAGAAACACTAAATCTATTGGAAGACAAATTGGGTAGAAACCTTGAAGACATAGGGATAGGTAGAGAATTCATGAACAAGATTCAAACCACACGGGAAATACTTCCCAGAATCAATAGCTGGGACCACTTCTTATTAAAAACTGCATGTCAAAAGAAATCTCCAGCATAGTGAAAAGAAAACCCACAAACTGGGAAAAGATTTTAGTGAACTCTCTCTCAGACAAGGGACTCTTGTCTAAAACATATAAAGAATTAAAAAAACTCAGACCTCCAAAATTCAAAGATCCAATCCAAAAATGGGCATCTGAGATGAATACGCACTTCTCAGATGAAGAAATACAAATGGCAAATAAATACATGAAAAAAATGTTCATCATCATTGGTCATTAGAGAAATGCAAATTAAAACCACACTGAGATACCATCTCACTCCTGAAAGAATGGCCAGGATCAAGAAAACCAACAACAACAAATTCTGGAGAGGCTGTGGGGAAAAAGGAACTCTCCTACACAACCTTTGAGGAGGTCAGTCTGGAGGTTTCTCAAAAAGATGGGATTGGAAGTCCCATTTGTTCTAGCTATTCCACTTCTAGGCATATTCCCAGAAGAACTGAAAGCATCATACCACAGTGATATATGTGCACCTATGTTTATAGCAGCACAATTTGTAATCGCCAGCTCTTGGAAACAACCCAAGTGTCCATCAACTGAGGAATGGATAAAAAAGTTGTGGTACTTCTATACAATGGAGTATTATTCAGCTATAAAGAAGGATCACATTGAGATATTTATCAATAAATGGGCACGGCTTGAGACCATACTCATAAAGTGAAATAAATCAATCTCGCATGTGTGAATACCAAATAGTTTTCCTAATGTAAGTAATGATTCAAATATATAAAAGTATGTGATAATCATGATTCCCCATTATGTGGCCTTGAAGCCTTATAAAGTTTTCACTTATTAATTGGAAAGGCTTTATTCTGGGCTTCTTGATATGGAAATATTTGAAGCTATAGTATATGAAGTTATATTCAAATATTTCAAGGAAAAAGACACTATGGTAACTACTATTAAGTCGGGTTATTTGGTGGTGAAGCACTAGGTTGCTGAAACAGTCATGCTTTGACCTGTATTGCTATGTTGTTATGTCCTCTTTTATCTCAATCTCTCCCTTATTCATTAAAAAAATTAGTTATTTTTTATGGTTTTTTTAATTAAGGGGAAAATTTTAAAAAATTAGCAGGATATATTATAGTAACTTTTTTTGATTTCCTATTAACTTGATTGAAGTCCTATAATACTCCCACTATCTTGTTTTGACTCATTAGACTCTGTTCCGTTCTGTATGATATTATCAAGTTTGAGGGTATAGGCAACTACTTTGAAGGCAATAAGATTCACTAAGATGCCCATTCTGGTTTGACTATTATCTCCTTTGGAAGTCCTGTAATGTTTACAATGTTTAAGTTTTATTGGTCTTGTTCTCTACTGTTTTGTTCAACTTTATAATGAGATAGACAATTCTTTTTAAGGAAGCAAGAGGCATTATGGTAACCACTGTTGATAACCTTGTACTCTGTTTTTACATCATGTACTATGTCTATCCTTGGTTTTGACTGACAGCTTTGTTTTGCCATATTTGACTTTATTGTCTTCCAAAAAAAAAAGTAATAAGAACTAAGGAGTAATAAAACCCAAAATGTGTAAATTTTGTTGTAAAAAAGAGAGGGACAAAAAGTGCTCTAAAGGATACAACTGCAAGTGTGTTTAGGGGTGTTAAATAGCTGACCATATTAATGTTTTTGGTTGGATCATTGAACACAACTGTTTGCAGTCTCTCTGTTTGTTCACTTTGTATGCTTTGATACTGTAACTTGAGCAACTATCTCTAAGATGATAATGTGTAATCTATTAACTGGTGATTTCTTACTGTTTTTTTGTTTGTTTGTTTTTTGTAGTTCTGTATTACTTGTACCCTTACACCACTTTGTTTTGTTTTGTTTTTTCTTTTTCCTTTTAAATAAAAATTTTTTAAAAATAGCCACAAGAGGTCAGCCTTTCCTAAGGAATAAGTTTAATATAATGTACCTTGTGAGATAAGCATTTGTTTCTGCAATACAATATTTGTTACTCATTAGAAATCAAATCTGAATGCACCACATGTTAAATCGAGTGAAGGCATCAAATTTTTGTACATTCTACCAAAAAATTACAAAACACCATAACAATCACAGAACTACAATTTTTAAATTTCCAAATAAACTTCATTTAATCCTCAATATAGCATGAGGACAAAACCTATTACTAACTTATTTGTAACTATGAAGATTAAGAAGTTGTTAACTTGAACATTCTAAAAATTAAAACAAATATAAGTTATGTGTTCAAACCAAAAACAAATGAAAGTAGAATTTGTATTATTAGATACATGAATGAATGCTTCAAAACTATTACATTCACAAGCTTACCTTGCCAACTGTCATTGCAGACACACAGTTTTTCTCCTGTTAAGTCACAGTAACCATGATCTGGACTGCCACAATTGGCTTTACAGTAAGGAATATCACAAGCTTCACCCTTCCAGTATTTATCACATTCACAATATACTTGACTTGACACAGAGACACTAGTTGTACACTTCCCATGACCAGAGCAATTATTAGGACAAGAATTGATTCTGTAAAATACAATTCATATATATATTCAAGTTCCGGACAATTAGGGAAAAAATTGACACTCTGTAAACCTTATAATTGTATACTGTGTCACATGCTTATTAATACAATCACAGTGTCACTTCAGTTCTTTACTGTGTACCCTTTTACTCTCATGCAATTCAGTTAGCATTTATTTGTAATTAGTCTTACAACTAAGTCTTACTACAACTTCAGTAAGTTTATTTTGCTAACAAGACTCCAAATATCCAAGGACTACACATGTAACATCTGCAAGACCAGTATAGTTTTAAGCACAATGTTTGTAAAGATAAAAGTATAAACATTTTGAATATATATTTTACAGAAAGTAAATTCATGAATACCTGAAAGCATGAGAAGCAAAGATACAACTTAGTTATATAATTTTTTAAGAACCTGCCATCTATCTACTCTTCTGAAAGAGAAGGGATGCTTATGACATCTTATTTAATGTTGCTATACTTAACTTTATATTGTATATATTATTCTCCCTCCCATATATATTTGGACACACTATAGAATAAAGAAATCCTATAAATCGCTGATTCAGAGATATTCAGATTTTTTTATACCTGTTGAAAAATTCTCTACTTATCAATTTGTAGCTTCATGAAAAAAGGAAAAAAAATTAATGTGTAGAATTAAGTTGCCTATGGCTATTTCAATGAAAGTATCCCTTCGCCTCTTATATAAAAATTTATATAAACTGTCAGATACATATTAGATTCTCAATGAAAATTATTTTTCTTACTTTGGAGGAGCCTATATAGCCATACTCTGTACCTCCTAAGCTTTAATTTTAAAATGGGAAATATATCCACTCACAGAATTGATGTAAAGGGAATTAAATGACATGATGTATACATAGCATCCAGGACAGTCACAAAAAGAGAGGACTAACAAAGTTCAGTTCTCATGCTCCTCTTCAAATTTAAGTAAAATACTTTAGAGCACAGAAAGGCAACTGAAGAGCACCTGCAATTCAATGCACCTGCTGCTACCAGTAAAATTACACTAATTTATGTTAGTTTACTTAATAGCTTACCAATAAATGATGCTAAATTTGTAAAAATTTTCCATCAAACCTTAATTTGCTAAAATAACATTCTAAGACTTACACATTATCTTAACAAAGGCTTAGATAGCATCTTGTGGTGTATTAAAGATTTTATGTCACTTAGGAAGGAATCTTACATAATTTGAAATTTAATGTGTTCAATTTTAACACATGTTGAATTTATAAAAACATTAATACAAAACTTTTGTTACAAAAATCTATTATTATATAAGATATTTATATAGTAAGCCATCAGTAAATCCTTTTAAATCAATATAAATCTATTACAAGATGTTTTTTAAAAAATACTTACGAATAGAAAATGTTGAAACCAGTTAGATTATATGCAGCATCACTAAAAAAGTGTAACAGTGCATAGCCAGATGTTGTAACAACTTCAGGCACAGTTTCATTTCCCCTTACTTCAGGGACTATCAAACCACTAAAAGAGAGCAAAACTGAACAATGTGTATATCCAATGTATATATATGAGGGTTAATTACATAAAATTATGTGATTATTCTAAAAATATTATCAGAATCATTAAACATGTACATTAAAATAGATAACTACAAGATTAAAATTAATCCCTACCCATTTCTACCAAATTAGCTCTACCACTACTACTGCCAATACACACCTATTGTCGTATCACTCTTTTTATTCCCATTTGGACTACAGTGTCCAATTTTTCCTTTTAATTATCCATTCTGCCATAATGCTACAGGGTGGTCTTTTACTTAAATCATATATAAAACTTCCCTCCAAGCCACTATGCTAATTTTAACAAGTGACCGTATAAACTCATTTTGTCAAATGATTGTGAATTCCAGTGAATGCTCCATACCAACTACATGATTACAATGAAATTCTGGTTAAAGCTGTATATTGCCAATATGCTAAATCTAAGTGTTTCGGTTTTAAAATGTATGATTCTTGTGCTACTTTAAAATTTTAAATATTTATACAAATTATACTAATATATAACTATTCTAGAACATACTGTTCAACTAGGTCTATATGAACACATTCATCAAGCTAATTTGGGTGGCAGGGCAATTATAAATGTACACAAGTACACATTCCAGGTAACTATTACCTATTTGTTCTTGGGGGGAAAAATACATATCTTCATTTAGTGATACCATGCTACCCTCTCTAAATATGTAAAAACATGAAATAGGAGAAACAAAGAAAACTGCTAACAAAAAAATAGTACACAATTTAATATTCCTTTATGCCAAGTTTATTTATGTTTCAGCACCACTAGGACTTGAATTCCCTCACTCAAATAATATTTGACAAATTATATATTACAAAAAATAATTTATTCCTCAAATAGAAAAAGTAATAAACTCAACATAATGTGCCACTCATATTACATCTATTAATTCATGACTGCAATTGAAAAAGATTTTAATAGAATTCAAATTTTATAATACCACTGTTACACATACATATAAATGCTTCATGATAGTGAGATTACATCACAATGAGTACACTGATAAAGTAATATTCCCAGGTTTCTATCATGGATATAGCTAGCCTCTGAGATATCTCTGACACACAAACAAAAAAGAACAAATTTGTTTGCTTGTTTGTATGTTTTAAAAGCAATAAACAAAAAAAGGCATTGCACTTCTCCCATAACTTACTAGGCAATTTGGACCAATCTAAATTGTAATACAAGCCATGTAGTAAAATAACTATATAAAAATAAACAAAAATTGTAATACAACAAATAAAATTGTAATATAATCCATACAATAAAATAACTACATAAAAATAAACCAAAAAAAAAAAACCTCCATAAAGTCATTAGAGAGCTAATATGCAAGGTTAGCAGAGGCACTGAGGCAACTTCCCTCAACAAGAGAATGTTTATTTTAAATCAGCGTGAGATTTGAAGAGCTAAGAAAGCTGAGGGCGTTAAGAGAGTGGACTGCAAAAGTTTTACACAACTAGGAAAACAAAAAGGGGAATCCTGGTTCTTTACTTTGATCCGGAACCCCAAAAACTAGGAGAAGAAGAAAGCAAACTAGCTGAAGTCAGGACCTCTGAAAGACTTCCCTTCAGTTTAGCCATGAACCACCTGAATCCTGACTGAGTGACTGAATGCTCGAGCTCCCCTCCACTCCCTGCTGGAATGTCTCTTTTAGGTCTCAAATTATTGCTCCATATGATTATTCCAAACACAGTGTCAAGCACACTATTGTGCAGCACACAGGAAAAAATGTTTACTCCATTCCAAACCATTCTCCACATTCTTAAAACAAAAAAATAAATAAAAAGACTTAAATCTTTTCTATAACATACAGTTCAATTCTCTTTTGTGTAATGGAAGCACTATTACAGTGACTGAAAAGGTAAGGCCTAGAATTACATAATATGGCTTCATGTTCTGATTCTATTACTTCCCAGATGGTCAACTGTGGGGCTGTCAGAGTAATTTTTTGTGCTTTAATCTTCCATTTGTAAAAAGGCACTAACTATCAAAAGGGTCATTGTGAGAATTAAATGAAATGATGAATATAAAGAACTCTTGCACAATACTAGCACAAAATGAGCACTCAGTAGATGTTACTGATTGCTCTTTACTGCATAATCTGGCTTCCCTGTGTCCCTTAACAAGTCTTTTGATGAAGTTACTCAAAACTACTATCATCCTAAAATACAACAGTCTTGCCAGGTGTGGTAACAGAGAGGACTGTCAGCCTGGACTACATAGTGAGTTCAAGGACAGCCTGAACCATCTCAAGGCACTATCTCAAAACACACACATACACACACACATTACAATACTCTTTAGTGTCACTGTGTAATTGCCATGGCAAAATGGAACTTTTCTCCTCCAGATTCTTCTTCGGAGGCAAGCAGCTTCACCACATTTTCTCAGGCCTTAAGTATAAACTGGTAACCCTACCTCTCCTCAATTCAGATGAATGGACAGAATATGCCAACCCCGGCACTAGGTCAAAGTACAGGTTCGTTTACCACCTGGACAGAAGGGAGACATCTGAGTCCAGGAAGCCTGGACAAGTCCATCATTTCATTGTATTTCCTCCCTACACGGTTCTTTGCCTATAAAATACCCTAACATATCTACATATTGAAAGGTGGTAACTTGGGTAATGAGGTCATCTCCTCAGATCTATCTTTGATTATATCCTTGCTTGCTGCCAACATAAATGGCCTCCTTTGATGTGGTCAACAGCAAGCAAGTGAATCTGAGCATATGGGCCTGGGTGGCTATCTATACCTGTATGTATATATCTTCTCTACTTAGAGTGCCCTATCTGGTCCTATACTTTGCCTATCATCCTTATGCTCATGATAAAATTTATCATGATCTGCTACTTCCTTTGAAATTATATAACCCTCTTCCATAACCCAATTATTACAATTAATAGCCTGTGCATGACTATTATGTACAAATGAATCTAGTTGGTCTTTGTCTTTAGTTCTTGGAATGTAACCTTTCAATCCTTAGAATTCCTCCAATGATAAAGTGTATTTGAAAACTTATGCCAATAAGATAACTCACAGTTGACTGTTAGTTAAGCTGAGGTTTTAAAAAAAAGCATTTGACAATGGGGAACAGCAGTGAGGGCATTCACAACCCCTACTATTTTCTTTACTTTGCCTTTTTTTTTTTTTCCTTTTGAAATCCCCATATCCTGTCTTGAAAATTTCACTTATTTTATGGCCTATAGATTATAATTTAGATGCCTAGTTAGCAGTTAGACTCAAACAGCAAGTGAACTTTGGCTAAATCCCCATAAAGCCTCTTTCTTTCCCTTAACTGGCCAAAAAATCTACAGAAAGGGAAACAACCAGGTTTATCTCAAGGCACCAAACTGCCTGGTTGTCCACATTCTGTATGTCAGTTGACCAGATGTGTAAAAAGGTCTTATAACATTCCAAAGCAATGACAGTGCTGCAAAAAGGTGCTATCCATGGAAACCTCTGACTTTGTAGACTCATACAGGGGTATATAACAGAACAAAACAAAGGAATCAGTGCCAGCCAACCAGTAGCCAGGAGTTTCAATGACAAAAACAAACTGATCCCTGCAGTTTGAAATAAGCCTCACTTATTTCTGAAATCTGGGTGTCCCATGGGTAAATTTCTTGAGCATGCTGTAACACAGCCATGCTAGCAAGACCAGACATATGGAGAAAAGTTTGGGAACAAATGGTATTACCCAGTCTTCTGAGGGAGAAGAATGGTTACAGGGCTGAAGATTTAAGTTTAACCTCATACTTTAAGACCAATAATTCAATGAAGCAAGTATACATAATGAAAACCCAGTAAAAACACTGGACACCTGAAACTAAAGTAAGCTTTCCGGTTAGTGATATAAATTGATATTCTGGGTGGGTACCACATCCTGAGGAGAGTATGTTTTGTATTTGTCATCCTTTTAGACCTCTTTTTAAGCTTGTTTATTTGGCTGGTGTCCAGCCTTCATAGTAAAGTATAGTCAGAAGTATATCACTTTTCCAAGTGTGGTGAGTCATTCTAGCAAGTTATCAAAGTTTAGGAAGGGTGAGACACCCCAAATTTGTAGCAAGATGATCAAAGTGAAAGTAGAGACTTTCAAACTTGTAACTAGTGTCTGAAGTAATGGCAATCTGTGAAGGACTGTATCCTTACTCTAGGAAGTTTGAATCAACTCCAGGTACTTGATGTCTCAACTCATTCCAGTGACTTATGCCTTATTTCTTACTATATGTTATAGGCATATACAGTCAACTCCAGGTACTTGATGCCTCAACTCATTCCAGTGACTTATGCCTTATTTCTTACTATATCTTATAGGCATATACAGTCTCTGGCATTGAGTTGGTTATCAAATGTTTGCTGAGTTTTGAGGACGTAGTTCACTCTAAAACTGCTTGTCTAGCATGCAGAAAGCCCTGTGTTCATCCTTAGTACCATCAAAAAAAAAAAAAGAGAAAGAAAGTTTTTTAGCTAATAAACCTTCATACTACTGATATAATGCAAACGTAATTAGAATTTCATTCAAAGTGAAGTTGAAACAGTATATAGGCTTTTAAAAGAAGAAAATGAGGCTGAAATTCTAACCTTGGCTCTATCGCCTATTAGAACTAAATAATTTATCTGAGGCTCAATTTTCTCAACATTAAAATGGAAATATTGGCACTCCCACAAGATTTTTGTGAGGATTAATGACATTTCAATTTTCATGTTAGGTCGCAGCATGCATCCAGAGGGACTAACCCATGCCACCCAATACGACAGTTATACATGGACCACTGGAAGTTCAAGCCCTCTTAGAGTCATCCATGTATCATGGGTGGCTCGAGCCCATGGGAATGGGTTAAACTACCCAGCAAAACACTTAGCATCAATGGATATTTAATACATATGAGTTTTCTATCTTTCGCAGGATAGCCAACAAGAACACTTGCTAATGAAAATTCACCACTCTTTCACAGACATATACTAAACCCATCCAGATAATTATAAAAGACTCCATTAAGTAACAGAAAAGAATTGGTTAAGAATATTAGCAAATCAGTATTAACATAAAGTCATCGGATTACTGGAAAAATAAGTGAAAAGGCACATATCTAAATCAAGTTAGTTAATAGCATTATAAAATGAGTAATGATAGCAAAGTTATGCTTAATTTCCTAAAAATAAATGTGTGAACCCAGGATCTTATCTAGTTGTCATGATGAAGAATCACAACATGATTGTTCACAAGCTTTTATTACATTTTGTATCTACTCTCCTTAGACACAGTATTAATTGCACCTATCCTTTTTATAATATTCAAAAACTCAAAAAAGAATTTCTGAAAAGATTTTTAGCAACAGCCATGTCATAGAATAAGTGTTTAAATTACAAATGCACTTAGAAATAGTAATTTGGGGCTGGGGATTTAGCTCAGCGGCATAAGCACCTGCCTTGCAAGCAGGCAGTCGTGAGTTCAATCCTCGGTACCGATAAAAATGAAAAAGACAAAAAAAAAAAAAAAAAAAGAAAAGAAAAGAAATAGTAATTTGGAAATAAAAAGCCTTGAATATTTGTCCAAAAAATGATAGCTCACATTCCAGATACAGTATCTGCAACATAAATAGCAAAAATTAAAATAAGTAATTTTATGAGAACAATAACCTGTTAACTGTACTTGAATTTTCAACAGTTATAAGACATGAGAGAGATACTGCATTAATAACAAAAGTAAAGGAAGACATAATCAGTATCAGATTAACAATCATGTTAGTAAAGATATATTCTTGAAGTGAAATACAAACAGTATAGTCTTGTAAATCAAGAGATTGGGGCTGATATCTACACAATGTATTCATATGTTTTTCTGTGTCCAATATATTTCATCTCCTACTCATAAAACTCTTATAGTAAACTCTATACACATACATATACAAAATTTATAAATAGCTAAAATGCTATAATTTTAAAATTAGTTTATTCAACTACTAACAATAAAATACCTTGAAGCAACCAAAACCACATTTCAAAAATTAGTGGACGTATTCCTTTACTGAAAAAATAAACAGTATAATTTAACCAATTTTGTAGAATTTCAAATTTCACCAATTCGCTAAAAAAAAAAAAGAAAATGATAAAAATAAATACATTTGTCTCTGTGTTTCTGGAACTAGGATGTAGCTCAACAGTAGAGTGATTGCTGAGAATGCATGAGACCTGGGTTTCATTCTAAGCACCACAAAAACAAATTCTTTCTCAGTTAGAAATTTACTCTATAATCTACCCAAATTCATAGTTCTGAAAATATATTCAAACCACTTTAAAAAAATAAACACAGTGAATATGAAGAATATTTATAAAGAAATCTATAGTCCCAATAGAGCATAATACAAAGCAAATCAGTATCTACAGTATTGAATATATACTTAAATTGACAGTCCTGATATATAATAAACATATATTAATCTTTGAAACTTTGTCATTAATATCTAAGCAATATTTGAGTATCAATAAGCTCAAATTAATAAATTATACAAATTGTCTCCCTACAGCTGACCATAAATTTATTAAATAAACATACTCACCTAAGTACAGCTATTAAAGGTGCATATATTGAATCTCCATCATAAACATACATATGATCCCAGCTACATTCTGTAGCAAAATGATTGAATCTCAACCTTAACACTGCATTTGGACTGAAAAAAATTAAAATACATTTCAAATTAGCATCTAACATATAAAACAGTATGAAGAATTTTTAGACAATGTTTTCTTAAAGATCTATTTTATACATAATTTTCCACAAATCTTTAAATCTCCAGACTAGAAGATTAATAAACCATTACACATAGCAGTGAAATTTTCAAAATCTTATTAACAGGTCATATGCACGTATCACCATTTTCTAAAAATTTTATTAACAGAAAATGTTCTATGTCTCTATTCAGGTAGAGGTTTCACAGCTTATAAGCATAACTTATACATCTTAAATTGTTTGCAAAAATGGGTGCATTCTATCATAGTTGTAGTTGAATAAAGTTGATTTCAAAACACAATATTCAAGAAACATTCTCAATTCTACAGAATCTTTAAATGGAGGCACTACATTCTTTAAATCTAATTAAAAGGTCTTAAAATTATATACTATTAACAAACAAACTGAGACTATAGGTACACAGAAAAAGTAATAGCTTTAAGTTTAATGTTTTTTAAATAATAACAAGTTTTCCAAATACATGGTTTAAAAATTATAAAACAGCTTAAAAAGTATTCATAACAATTCATTTACATACAATACATTTAAATAGGCAAATTCAGTTTCAAATCCTAATTCTAAAAACACTCTAGTTGGATAATTAACTTTCTTCTTCAAAATGTTCTATTTAACCCTTAGAGGCAAAATGCTGAGTAGGTAAATCAATGGCTTAAACTGATATAGAATATTATTACAGTTTTCAAATTCCATAAAGTATTTTCAAAAAGCCAAAATACACCTATTTAATGCACAATAACATAATTCAAAAATAAAATATATAAATTAAGCTATTATCACAAGCTGGAGTTATTATAATTCATATAAATGTGATGTTTACAAGTAGTCAATCTATTTATGAATATTTTCCAACAATAAACAAATAAACTATGTATTATATAGTAATTATATTTTTTAATACTTTAGCATTGAAATGATCACCTTTATAATTGCAAAATAAATTAATTCAAGTCAAATTGTATACTTACTAGCCTTCAATTAGCCATGTACACTTAGTTTTATACTTATAGTTAATTGGCCCATCTGTTAAATATCCAGAAGGTTCTGTTAATCTAGAAAAGAAAAATCATGAAAGTGATTACCTTAAAGTAACTTAAAGATTTACAGCATGAGATTTTTTTAAAAATCATTAAAGCAAAGAAATGACCAATAGTAACTTCCAAAGAGAAGGATACATTTAAAACTCAAAAGAAGTTTGAAATTGCTCTATTTTTCTCTGTATCTGAAAAGAAACTTAGTTAAGATTTGATTATATACCATGGCCATTTCAATTTACACAATGCAAAATGCCACTGAAAAAGTAAACATTGTAATGAAAGCTTCAAGTTGATGCATATAGATTAAGCTAAACTTTATCTGCACAAAACCTTGGGTGAGGCCAAAAAGGGAAGATCAGATGCATTTGGAAGATGCAGATCTATGGAATAGTTCCCATCTCATTTTGAGGAGATCACTATTAGTTATATATGTTTTCTATGCACCAGAATTTTTAAGTGGTTGCTATCAGACTTCACAGTTATAGTACCTATTTCTATTACCACTTTTTCTCTTGACTAATTTACATTTAGTACAAGAATTCAACCAATTTCAAAATGGAAAATCAAAAGATTTTAATACTTTCTATTTTGCCCATTAGAAAACATAACTTTAAAACTTCCCTCACATTTTCAGAATCTTAAAATATTTGAGTTCGAATCTACTTCACTTTGTCCTTACCATTTTATCAGTAGAAGACCATGTATTAAATAGTTAAAGTATTTCTCCACTTGGCCTTCACATATAATATGTACACAGAGGCATTTTATAGCTAATTCATCTTTATATATGTAAATAAACATACTTATATATACAAAGGAATATTAGAATAATTGACTTTTCTTTCTTTCTTTTTTTGGGGGGGCAGGGGGGTTTACCGGGGATCAAACTCATAACCTAGTGCTTGCCAGGCAGGCACTTATGCCGCTGAGCTAAATTCCCAGCCCTAATTATCTACTTTTAGATAAAAAGAAAATTTTCTCTAGAGATCATTAAAAGTTTTAAAGAAAACTTCATTATCTATATCAGGGTTGACAGAAAAATCAGTCAATGTTAATGTTATTTGTAAGTATTCTATGACCCCTGCAAGTAACTTTGGTAATAAAGGAGCCAATTCAGGATTTAAAAAAATTTCAAAGACCACCACAAATTCCAGCGAAATACAGTGGCACACTTCTGTAATCCCAGCCCCCAGGAAGCTAAAACAGGGGGACTTCAAGTTCCAGGGCAGCAACCTGGACTATAAAATGAGACCCTGTCAATAAACAAATAAATAAATAAATAAATAGCTATTTGGTCTTTAGCCACAGCAATAAATGTAACACCAGTATTAAATCAAATCAATTTAGGCAATCAATAACAGCTGGTTACAATAATGCTTCCTAAAGCCTTGCAATTAGTAGCAGCCTCATATATGGTTACCACATGAAAAACATAAATTTAAAATCTTCACATGTGCAGAAATTAAGCAACACTTCTAAATCACAAAGACTATTAGAAAATATTTTAATTGAATAATACTAAAGTCACAACATACCAAAATGTTCAACAAAGCTGAAACAGAGAACTTATACTGTAGCTCTAAACATGAATATTAGAACATTAACAATCATGATTACACAATTAGCATTATGACTCAAAAATATCGAAAAAGAACACCAATTTAAATCAAAAGACAGAATAAAGAAGGAAAGATCAAAATTTTGAAATTCCTGAGACAGGAAAAGTCATAAAAAATAAAACCAAGAAATGATTTTATGAAGTATAAAATTAGTATTTTCCAAGAAAAACTGATCATGAAAGAAAAAGAAAAATATTAATTATCAGGAAGAAAAAGAAGACCTTAGTGCTAATGCTAATGCCACAAAAAGCATAAAACACAGACATGCTGGCACACAACTATAATCTCAAGACTCTCAATTTCAGGATCAGGTTGAGTAACTTAGCAACTTGGACTAAAAATAGATGGGCTGGGGATGAAGGTCAGTGCAAAGGGCATGGATTCAATCCTCAGTATCACAAAAAAAAAAAATTCCAAATTTCATATCAATGAATTTACCATTTTAAGCGAAATGGAAAAATTCTTTGAAAAGCTAAACTTGACAAACCTAACATACAACAAAATAGAAAATCTGACATCCCTATATTTGCTAGGGAATTGACTTTATAATTTAAAATAATGCACAAAAGTACCTACAAGTTACAATGGCATGCAGTTCCACAGATGAATATTTAAATATTTTTCAAATATTTATATAATAATGCATGTTCACAATCTCTTTCAGAGTAGAGAAAAAAAGATACGTATCCCAACTTCTTCTATGCAACCAAGATACAGAGAAGAAATTAAATTTCGACAAGAAAATTTCAAAAAATGAAAAATTAAACATATCCCTCATACAGAAAATTCTTAAAATACTAAATTTAATCAAAGAACATATAGAAATGAAAACACATACTAGAATGTCTGACAGTAAATATTTAAAGACTCACAAAATATTTGCTATATTGGGAGAACAGAAAGTCATTCTGTGGAACAATGGGTAAAGTCTAGAGATGAGACTATCTAGGGTTAGCCAATGGATCAAACAAATTATTCAAGTAAATTCAAGAAGGGAACTCACGAATTAATTATTCTGATCTCCTGAGCAACTGAAATGCTCCTAGTATTCTTTATATATCATTCACAAAATAATTTGCTGATTCAGTCTGAAGATCCTCCCTTGCCCAACATGGAATGCCAACAGTATAAAAGCAGTTATGCAGAAGTCATTCCTCAAAATCAATGAAAAGCAAATAAACCCACTGCTGCCCAAGGCCAAAGATTACAATTGAAGCAAATGACAGTCAAAAGCTGAGGAGGAAAAACTGAGGGAAAAAAAATAATTCTTCAGAACAGGGAAGGTGCTTTGTGGAATTATACAGGGAAATTTAGGAAACCATGTCCACATCTATCTGTATGCTCAGATTACCTCTGGTAATCTTCAGATCAGAACAATCTTCAGATCAGGAACTGAGGGTTCAGACAGAAGCATGAGACAGAGGTGGCTGAAGTACACAAGAGGTGCCACAACATACAGTCAGTCTGCAAAGACTGAGGTGGTATCCATATTTCTTAGCTCCAAACAATCAAGGAAATCTCTTTCAAAATACTAGCTGACCACAAGCTAAAGGAATGGAGACTTCAGAGACCACAGACAATAAAAAATACAGTCATTACAAAACAGTTTATAAAAGCCACTAAACAAATAAACAACAACCCACACAAGCACCAAAAACAAAGCCTAAAAGGAAAAACCATGATTTCTAGAGTTATCATATTATCAAATGTCTAGTCTAACAAAAAAAAACTTATAAAGCATAAAAAGAAATAATATGGTATCACCTGGTCACAGGAGAAATTAATAAAAACTATTTCTGAGAAAGTACAGACTTTGGTAGACAAAAATATAATGCTCAAACTATAGAAAACCATAAATAAAAGTTAAAGGAAACAAAGTGATGTCTCAACCAATAGAAAACATTAATAAAAATTTAGAAATTTTATTATCACAACCTCAAGCTCCTACATTATTTCCATTCTTATAAAAAGCAAGATAATAAAATGAATATTCTATGTAAAATTTAAAAGGCTTCACTAACAAATCCTTCTCCCCAGTTTCTTTATTTTTTATTTATTTATTGGGGGGAGAGGGGGACCAGGGATTGAACTCATGATCTTACGCTTGCCAGGCAGGCGCTTAAGCTGCTGAGCTAAATCCCTGGCCTTCTCTCAGGTTTCTAACTAGCATTTTTAAACCTTTAAAATCAAAACACTGTTTTAATTAAATTGTAAAAATCAAATCCTGAATCCAGTGCAACAAATTTTAAGGCTTAAAATACAAAAAAAAATTTCAGGCTATGTGATAACAGTTTTGTACCTCGGGGACTTAATTTTAAAGATTTTAATTTTCTAGTTACTTCCACTTCAATTTCACCTATAAAGCAAGACTAGAAATATAACATATCAAGCAGCACCTTAATGAATAGTCCAAAAATATATGGCTCTTTTATAAGGAAATAAAACTGGAAATTTAAGAGCAGGCAGCCCTGCTGGCCAAATATTACCCATAATTTAATATACCATATTCCTAGTTGGAAATACACCTCCCAAACTGCATATGAGGAAATCACTTTTGTTCCTCTTGTTACAAAAACTCATCCCCCAGCATGAGTTGTAAAAAAACATCAGGATGCCCCTGATGTATCCTCTGCAACATTTCTGACTCTACAGTGTCTATTTTTTTTTACCACCTTTCTTCCTCCAGCTGCTCAACCTCATTCTGTATTCTCCAACTCCTTAGCCTCAGTTTAAAAATAAGTTCTCCCTCCAAAGAAACACGCACTCTAGGAGATACCACCAAAACCTCTACCTTTTCCTTTAAGAAGTGATGTGAAACTGGTATGCCTCCCCACCTAGTATGCACAACAAGAATACAGAAAACTACACACCATCTTCCATTCTATTCAACTTCAATGGCACAATGCACAGACTTTCTAGAAAATTCTATTCATTGAAGTCCCTGAATGCTTCCCTTACTATATCCCACATCCCTAAAATAAAGACCTTACCGAGAGCCTATCTTTCCCTCCACTTTCTGGAAAGGTTTTCTCTTTCGCAATTTCAATCTATGTAAGTGTGACAGGTTGCCGACAACTAAAGCTGAAAAATGGAAAATCACTTCTTATCACCAAAATAAGAGGGGAAAGCCCCTCATACTTCTACAATAAGTGAAAAATAGTTCTTTTAGGTTCCTGACTCCTTAAATTTTACAAACCTTCACCTTCATGCCATTTGAGCAAAACATCTCCATTGAACACTCTAGACTTCTTCACAATCTAGCACTGATCTAAAATTCAGAAGTCTGACACACACCAGCTGCCATCAGGGACACTTCCCGCCACCAGTAGCCAGCATAAGCTGGAAAAAGCAGCAGTCAGCCCCACAGCATTGCACCCAATGGCCACCATCAGATAC